AAAGCCCATGCGATGAGCTGCTGAGAGGAAGTGAGAGAGAATGCAAGTGTGTGAGTACGTGTGCGCCTCTGTGATATAAACAGGCTCTCAAAACATGGATTTGTTTTATCTTCTGCTGGGTTTGTAAATGAAATATGGAAAATCGTAAAGTCGCTTTCCACACCACATCAGATCTCCTGCGACCTAGCCAATTTTTCTGCCTCTTTCAGGGGACAAAGTCTCAAGTCTACTTTTCAAAGGCCTTGAAAGTTGCTGTGTGCAGACCTCTTGTACATCACACATCACTGGAGCTTTTCAAACCAATCCCACTTGTTGGGCTGAAACGTCTTCAACATGGCTGCTGTCTCCTTACAGGAGAGGGAAGTAACACTGATCTTGCTGTTTATTTATTAATGAGACTACTTTCTAGGCTACTCAGGCTGTGTTGTTTCTGCACTTTACAGTGAATCAAAGAACCGGTTTAAAGGAATATTCTGGGTGATTTATGTTGAGATGTGCTGTACCTTCTTTACAGTATTTACATTTATGAACAATTATTAACAATATTTTGATTTGGTTGACAGCATACTACAGATTGTGTTAATGGAGCTTATCTTGAATTTAACCTGTATTATTTCTTTTTAAAGTTTATAACAGCAATAGTGGGGGGTTAATAAATAATATAGAATGTAATTATTATTAAAAGTAGTTAAATAGTATTAAAATACTATTTTTTTTTTACATGTATTGTGTAAATGTGTACTCTCTGAATGTGTCTAGTGGTTGAGGGTGTGTTTGCCATTAGCATGTGCACAAATATTCACATTATAAAACCTTTTCCTTTGTTACATTTATCACAATCACCCCATTATGATTATACAGCATAAGTGTTATGAATGTAACACTGGCCTTTGTGAACTTCTAGATTAATTGTATGCTACTACTTGATTAAGTTATTCATTTAATCGTCATGGGTGATGACTGCTAAAATGAGCTCAAATTTTAAATCTTTAAACTAATTATATTCTCAATAAATGAGCAAAAATTGTTATGATTATTTCTGCTCTCCCCCATGCTCTTTTTTTACTGGTTATAACAGTCACTTTGGTGTTTCTGCTGCACTTACATTTAGCAGATGTTTGTTTCCAGCACAAGCCTTAGTATAAAAACAATTTACAATATAGTGCACAAATAACGTTTTTAACAATTATTGAGACATATAGCTGAAAATACACAGAGCTTGCTAACAGCTGCCTCACATTACAATATAATTGTGTTGCTAGTGATACAAAGCTGAGTCCCTAAATATGCAATGATATTGTATTTCTGCTTGCATATGAAGAAGACGACATGATTCGTTCTGAACATGTGTTCAACAACTTTCAGCAAATTAACCCCATCATTTTACATTACTTTTTTACAGATGGGTGATAAAATTCTGAATTGAGCCATGGCACATTTAAAGAAATAAAGTTATAAAAATAAATGTGGAAGCAATGATGAGAGAGTCAGTGAGCGAACACGTGTCATCTGAACTGAATTGAGACATGCAATAAAAGGACATGTTTGATCACCGGTTGTCTATAGACATCACTTTCTCACCCAGCAGATGGAGGGAGAGAGAGAGAGAGCAGATTTGAGTGGAAGAGTTAAATAATTAGGATTTGTTATGATCGACAGATGGCCGAAGTTTGGCTCTGTGGAAGTTTATGGGAGAAAGTTTCCTCTGCGTATGTGTGTGTGTGTGTGTGTGAGTGTGTGTGATAAGTGTATGTCATATTTTAACTCAAAGCTCAACTCCAACAGACAGAATGTCGCTCTCTCTGAAGACTGCTCTCAAACTCTGGAGGATTTGAGAGCCAGAATCACCATTAACGTGAAGTTTAGCTCAGGTCTAGCCTTAATCTGACAAACAGATCTCTGCTGGTGCCGTCTTCTACAGCAGCCATCACACACACACAGACAGATGAACCAACTTAAAATGAAATACTGCTGAAGGGTACAACTGAACCTCCTGAAGGTTCTTAAGTGGGTGTGAGTGTGTGACTTTTGTTCAGGCTGTGTGATGTGTCATTTGACCAACATACATATACCCTGCTGCAATTGTTCAACACGCAGAGAAATCTGTCATAATACTTTCATCATTTCTCTCTCTCTCTCTCTTGATGGAAGGTAAACTGCATTGTCTGTGTGATCATGTGAATATTTCAGATCTGTGTGTTTGGTAGGGGTCAAAATCATTTGCCCCCTGTCAGTTCTATTTAAGTATTTCTGCCATCTCTTAATCCCTGGTGGTGTGTGTGTGTGTGTGTGTGTGTGTGTGGATGCATGTGTTGAATAGCACAGATGATTTGTTTACTGACAGACACAAACCTGTTTGTATGCCCGTCAGAGTGCGTTTGTCAGGAAAAGCAAATCTACTGATCTAATCTTCTTCAAACCAGCCGTCCCCACAAACACGTGTGCGAGTCACATGTAAACATGAGTGAATGGTGTAACATCTTCACATCTTTATTCAGACAGTCGAACCAATGAAGAACACAGAGTTCTTTCTTATCTTTCATACACACTCTCCCAATCACAAGCTTGTATGTATATCTTGCACTAATGCACATAAGCACATTTGTGACCCTGGACCACAAAACCAGTCATAAGGGTCACGGAGAAATCTGTCATAATACTTTCATCATTTCTCTCTCTCTCTCTCTTGATGGAAGGTAAACTGCAAGTGTGAGAATGGATTAAGCTTTAATTCAGGGATTAAACCTTGGCTTTGTAACATTAGACCCACTTTGTGTCACCTGGAGAGAAAAGCTGATGATGAGTTTCAAAAATAACACATTCATTATTCAACATGTGTCATCTTTCAAAGCCATAGCTGAGAGTTTCTTTAGCTTTAGGCATTGTGGACTTTTAGAATAGCTCTCTTGCAACATATTTTATACACACATTGTGAATTTAACCTATGGTTTGTCATGGAAATGACAGTGGTGGGAATGACATTTTAACTGTTTTTGAAATATTTTCTTTGAAATATTCTTGAAATAAGGGTAACACTAATTTGTGACTAGTTTTAAAAAATAATAAGTAATAATAATTAAATAATATTTTTAGACTTTTCGCATTATTTTGCAAAACTACAGCTGAATTGAAAATGACGCACAATGAAAACATTCTGTTAACGGAAATGATATTCACTTTTTTGTTGTTGTTTTTGTTTTGTTTTCTTCACACATTGCACGTCATATTTCATCTCAAGCATGCTATTCACTGACACTATTGTCTCCTGGGTAACGAAGCTTAACTTTTGGAAAAAAATTTAAAAGAGACAAGATTTATTAAGGGCAAAACTAAAGGCTGCAATACACTACACAACTTTTACATAGATTTTTGCCCCAATTTGCAGTCTGGACGAGTCAATGCTAGTTGCCATAAGTCAGAACCAGACTGCATGGTTTTGGGCAGTTGGAGTGTAAGACATTCACAGTCTGAATATATATATATATATATATATTTTTTTTTTTAAACAGACTATGATTCCATCCAGTAGAAGAATATCGAACATGTTTGATATTTTGAGCTAATTTTAGAACACATATTGTTTTGATTTGTCATGTGTTTCCTAGTAATGAGGCACATGTTTTTTGACTTGAATAATAACCATTTACAAAGTCGGCAAGTCTATGTTGCCTAATGTTTTAGGTGTTTCAGATTTTAAAAATTGTGTAGTGTATTCCAGCCTTAAGATGCAATCTTTTTCTGTTTTTTTAATTGATCATTTTCACACACAAAAATATTGAAATGGTTTGTTTATATCACTTTCTGACATCATTTTAAATATTAAAACAATGATCATTTTAAATGTATTTTCATATTTTAAGAAAGTCTAGGTAACCCTAGAAAGAAATAAAGAATAGTAATTAGGTTTTAATGTGACCTTCATATAATGAAAAGAGTTTTAATAAAAATCAACACCTGGGACATTTATCTTAGTGTATACATTATGTGTGTGTGTGTGTGTGTGTGTGTATGTGTGTGTGTCTGT